ATACAGTACAATACTAATAATAGTAACAATGGTACCAATTCTGGTAATACTAATAATACTAATAATGCCGACAATCAATGGTCATGTTTTGGCATTGCCAATAACAATAGCTCTGTATGTTCTAGACATGGTACATGCAAATCACTCAATGTTTGTGAATGTAAATCTGGTTATACAGGAAGTGATTGTGAACTTCGTACTTGTTTTGGTGTTGCCAATAACAATCCAAACTCTTGCTCAGCACGTGGTAATTGTACCAATGTCGATACTTGTGAATGTCGTGCAGGATATAGTGGATCCAATTGTGAGCAATACACTTGCAATGGAATTCTCTTCTCAAATTCAACTGTTGTTTGCTCTGGAAATGGTAATTGTACAGCACCTAACATTTGTTCATGTGCTTCCCATGCTGAAGGATCTTGGTGTGATATTACATATTGTAATGGAATTTCATCAAGCAACAATACTGTTTGTAATGGACATGGTAATTGTGTCTCTGGTGCCTGTAGCTGTGCTGTCGGATATTTTGGAAAAGGATGTGAACAATATGTTGTATCCGGATCAACATTTGTATCTGGTTTGGGAGTTTATCATGCCTTGTTTGTGTTCATTACAAGCTTGTTGGTGATCTTTATAATTAATTAGAATAAATTTTTGATTTTGAAAACTTGATTAGTTGATGATGATGAAATTTATCCAGCAATTAAATGATGTTACTCCTTTGAAATTACTGGAGGTTCCGAGGAGTATTTACATGATTGCCCTCAATATTTTTTTGTTTTTGAATTTTGACAACGAAGATACGAAGATATTGAAAGTAATAATAATAATTGTGTTTCAAAAATCTATCACATAATATTAAAAATACTCATGAATTGTTGTTTACTAGTATGTGATGATTTTTTATAAATATAAATTGCTTCGTAGTAATAATAGTAATTTTTATTAGTTTTAGGATGATAATCATGAAATTGGAATTTATTTTTCATATTATCATAATCGGATCATTCACCACCAACATTTTCCATCAGTTTTAATTGTAGAACTTTTAGTGTGGATGATAGTCGGGAAACAATGTGTGAATTTACTATCACCATTATCAACATATTTTGCTTTACATTCCATCAATTTGCCAATATCCTAAATTGTCTTCTTTGATAGTGGTCATAGTGATATTAATGCAAAATAACACACAGACAAAGGCCTCTCTTCAACCATTCCACATGTTGCTGCGTTCTCCATAGAGAGTTTGTTGTAGCCCCAAATTAGCTCTGAAGTATATATTTCTGGATTCACCAAATTGGTTTTTTTTCCCTATTGTTCCAAAGTTCTTTCATTGCCTTAATAATTTTGTGTCCATATCAACAACCACATGCATTAATTAATCTTTATTGTCCAAACACCTTTTTGAAATGAAGCCTTACGTTTCAAAGCTAGTTCACACGTTAATTTTGCATGGCCTTAATTCCACGCTCACAAGAAATGTTATACACTCTGCAGATTGCCACGATATTCCATCAAGTTGTTTCATATTATGTAACCCTATGGACATGTTATTTTCTTTCTAGAATTTTGGATGATTTTGAAATGTTTCTATGGTTCTTAAATAGAATCTTAATGCCTTGGTTGATTTCTTGGATTAAAATTTAAAAAAAAAATCAACAACAACAACCATGTCCGACATTGTTCCAAAATTCAAAAAGGTCTCGCTTACTGGTGCCCCATTCAGTTCTGATGCCGAATATTATAAAACCTTGAGAAATTACGAACTTGCTGATGCTCATGCTAGAAATGCACCAAAGGATATTCCAACCCTCACTGAAACTTCCAAGTATCTTTGTAGCCCTTTTGATAATATTGAAGAAAAGGCCAGATCTGTCTATGTTTGGCTCTGCTTGAATCTTACCTATGACAAGGTTAATAGAAAGAATCACACTCTTCCAAAGTATAATGCTGAAGTTATGGGACCATCCTTTAGTGAAGAAGAAAAAAAGATCTATAATGATTTTGCTCTCTGTGCTTTCTACTTGAAGACCTGTGTTTGTACTGGTTTTGCTGGATTATTCGAAGGTAAGTACTTCTATTCCACTATGGAATCTTAGGCAAATTTATATAAGGTCTCTTAAAGCAAGCTGGTGTTCCAAATGTTTTCCGTATTGCAGGAAAAGGACGTGGGCCAGAAATTGACCCATTTGAGGAATTCAATTTTACTCCTGATCACGAGTATAATGCCATTGAAATTGATGATGGTACTCTCAGATTTGTTGATGTA